GCCCTTTGCGCTCCTTGTAAGGCTCAGGACCTCCAAGGGAGAGCTCGGGTTCTTCCTTGGGGAGCTCGGGTCGTGGGTTCCTTTTTTGGGGGAGCTCGGGTTGTGGGCCCGCTGCCGTGCCGAGCTGGCGCTTTTGCCAGGTCACTCTCGGTTGCTTCCACGTGTCGCGTGGCCAAGGGGTCGGGCCAAATCTCCCTCCATCAGGTTGCACCGGCTTCTTCTTTCGATCTTGAATAATTATAACTTTCTAGCTTTGCATTTTGTTTGTTTAATACATTAGAAAAAAAAATGAACGCCACAAATCAGAGAACTTTCAAATCGGGAACGCAATCATAATTGGGAACTTTCAGATGAGATGGAGATGGAGTCGGAGTTGGAGATGGACACAGAATCAGAGACAGTGATAGGGTCGGAGTTGGAGTTGAGTAGGAGATGGACATGGACATGGAGTCAAAGTCAAAGATGGAGACAGTGACAAGTATGGAATAGAAGTGGGTTTTCTTTGTGAAGGGAGTGTAACAGTTTTTGAAAAGGTATTTTAGGAATTTTAAAAAGTATATCACTCACATGATGTCACATGTGTAATGACTCTGAGGAAAATTAACAAGAAAGGTTTTACACAATTGTCAGAAAACTTAGGAATATAAGACAAAATGTAAACAATAAGGGTATAATTAATCAATTAGCTAAACAATAGGGATAATTTAAGAAATTTGTCTTTATTATTATTATCTTATTATTAATTAATATTATTCTATTATATTAATAATTTAGGGGACTTTTTGTCATGAATTCTTTAYTTGTTGATAGACTCTGGTGTGGGAATCCCTTTCCCTAGGGGAGGGCCTGAAATGGCTATTCCCCATGGGGTTTCCCCCAATAATGAAAATCGGAATCCCATTTCTGTCAAATAAATGATAAGAATTGGAGTGGACCATTCTGATTCTAATTTTAGGCATGTATTCCTAAAATACAAATGGATTGAATGTTTTGATCAAGGGGTGATTCAAATTCAATATGAAATACAAATGGATTGAATGTTTTGATCTTGATTTGATTTAATAAAACCAGTAAGTATGATTAAAACTAAGATAAAATTGAATTGCATTCGAATTCGAACCGAATCAAAATTTGATCCATTTGCACCACTGGTAAAGTATATGTGGTTGGTCATGCGCCCACTTTAAATGTATTTGCGCTAGTGATCTGATCAGCTCAGCCATGTGTATCATCTAATGGTCTTGATTCTACACATGGCACCTGGCCTCCTAACAACGTGCCTCCACCAGGATGCTTACGTGTCACCTCAATTAATCGAATGGACACATGTTGTGAACCTCACACCAACCTTACAGCCCTATCCCACCGTATATTGAAAACATATCCCTATGAACAATAATACAAAGTAGAGGAGATGTTCCTAATATGCAGCTGGGAGGCGTTGTGAGGTTGGTATAAGGAGCAGCGGCGGAGTTAGGGGTGGCGGAGGGGAGCCATGGCCCCCCTATGCCTTCATAATTCTCATAAAATATAGGGAAAATGACTGTTCAGCCCAGTGTCAGAATCATAGGCCTAAAGTACAGTTGAGATAGGTGCCAGATCGGAATTGATGTCAATTTACAGGCAAGTATGAATGCATAAAATGGATTTTAACCTTTTGAATATTTATAAATTTGCAGGGGAATTCAGAAATCTGCATTAGGCCTATCCGTACTTTTCCATAAAATCTATTTAACATCCCTTCTCTTCCATCAATAGAACTATAGGAGCACTTCAATCTCGATATAGCATTGAATTGAGAAGGAACACTTCTAAAGTAAAGAAACAAACATCATACTGCGCCTTTGAATGTTAACTTGAACCCAGTCCTAGCACCCAAAGAGGAAGCTAAGAAACTGTTTAATCAGGCTGAATGCTTTTGAAAATAAACATTTCAGCATTCAGAAGCTGTCTCAAATCTGACCCTAGTAACATGTTAAAAGATCGCGTACTGGACAACTAGCGATTTATTCATCATAAAGTGATCACGCCGACCACTATCGAAACCATATACCAAGTGTGGTTTGCTCCAAGTGACCAATAACTTTCACAAACAAGTGAACAACTACATTGGCTTTAAAAATCCAAGGCCATATAATTATTATAAAGGATAATTCCACTTTAATATCCTGAATTTTGGAGTAGTGTCAAGTTAGTATCCAAACTTTCAAATGTCACTGTAGTACCTAAATTTTTAAAAAGTGTTAACTTGATTTCTATCGTTAATTGATCATCAGTTATTTATTGAAAATGTCAAAATTAYCCTTCAAAAGAAGACACCGTTCATTGTCTTCTACCTTGAGATTAAACTGGTTATATTATATCTTTAAAAAAAAAGAAGAAAAAACATGAAATATGATAAAAGAAAACAATAACAAAGTAAAGAAATAACTAAACAAGAATGTGTTTTAGATCTAAAGGTAGAAGACAACGACTTCGGGGCCACTTAAGTCTTTTTTAAAAAATCTTTTGGAAACTCTGACAATCAAAAGACGATGTAAACTTTTGCATTAAAATCTTAACAGTTTGAAGACGRTTTGGCTAAGGCACGTCTTTCTGTGCAAATAGAAAAAAACCAAAATGCAAGCTATCGGACTTCTAAAAAACCAACAACCCACACAAAAAGATGTGTCAAATAAGGCCTTCTTCATTAGTGTAGAACCTCAAACACCTCAACTAGTTCAATCTCAAAGTAGAAGACAATGAACAATGTTTTCTTTTGAAAGGTAGTTTTGACATTTTCAACAAATAACCAACAGTCGGTTAACAGCAAGGACCAATTTGACACTTTTTGAAAGTTTAGGTACTACAATGACACGTTTGAAAATTCACATACTAACTTGATACTACCCAAATGTTTAGGATACTAAAGTGAAGTGTTCCCTTATTATAATACTTGCTGATAAACCAAAGGGTTTTGCACTCCATGGCACAACTTACATTTCATCCTTAAAATGTCTGAATGATCTTGCTTTCTTTCATTACCAGGTTTTTACAACTCTTTAATTAGATAGCTGATAAGGGTAGAAAGCACTAGACCACCTTTCACTGTGCTTCCACATTCTATTATTTTCTGTTGATTACCAATTACATCGGTTTTGCACAAGGTAAAAAACATCTAAAATAATATTCCCACTATAGCCATCTTTTAGTAGCCATTCTCCAACATTGTCTTTTTACCATTCTACCCTTCCAGACAGGCAAACATCATATAAATCATTGTCAACAAATTAGAATTGTGACCGAAACAAACATACACTCAACATTGTCATGGAACCTAAATCCCTGACTATAAAAGGAGGTAATCTAATTTGTTTAAAAGAAAAAAGGGAACTGATCAAAAAGATAAAAAAAAAAGGAAAAAAGGAACTTGGTATGTGGGGGGGGAGGGGGGGACAAATCTCTAGAAAGAGAAAAACAAGACTCATGAGATCATCTCAACAACATACCCTTATAGATAAGGGTAAGAAGTGGCAAATTGGCTCATCACTTGAAACATTTAGCATCCAGCAGAGCTTCTCCCTCAAAAGGCTCTGCATCTTCAATCATTTGATTAACACGCTCCTTCTGGGCTTCGTCATTGATGTCCACCTTTCTCCAGTCATAGAGCTCCATGTCATAGCACTCATCAAGTACAAATTGAGGAATCTCTTGCCCACGGAAGAGCCACAATCCCTTGACCTTGTATGGTGGCTCTGAACCAATAACTAAGATCTTGCCAAAAGCATACTTACGAGCCAGATCCATCCGTTGCAGGAAACCACTGACCTTGTTTAACGTGACAAATGAAACAGTATTCTCATCGTTGTATTTGTAATCACAAAACCAGAGAGAATATCCATCAGGATCAAACATGTCCCAAAATCCTACAACCAAAAGTAAAATGCTGAATAAATTGTTGTATCTGAAAACTCTGAAGGCAAAAGGAATGCATATTCCTAGAATACCCATATAACAATAATTCGACATACAGGAAATAAAACACAGGCTATAGAAGAAAATAACAAGACCACAATAGCATTTACCATTTAAAATATCAAAACATTACTTGCATAAATGAAACCTCAAAGTTAAAATGAGAGTTTCTAAGCAAAAAAGATGACGCATCTCTGCTTTCTAGGAATTAGATCATAGTGGGAAATGAAATTTCAAACCAAACCATTTAATTATTTTATCCACTAAAAGACAAACCAAAAAGATCTAAAAACAATGGTAGAGCTATGAAAAACCTGCTGAAGGGTGCTGCAACTCGGGTTGGCCTGAGTTAGCATTTTACTTGCTACCCACAGCCCTACCACCCACAGGATATTACAGCTGCGCATTGGGAATATCTCCCTTGTCATTCATGGGAAGATGTTCACAATACATGGTGGTGGTGTTATGCAGGCAGGGATGTGGGAACTGTTTGTGGGTAGCAGATCTGGAGTGAACCCAAGCATGCCCAAGTTGCACCATAGTTGACCCTTAGCCGAGAGATGAAGCACCTCCCTGATCAAGGGCTTCAAGTTACTGAAAACAGGCCCAAAGACCAAAGTGATGGTATGATTCAGATAATTGTGTTTCTTCTTTTGTTTATTTGGGGAAATAGAAAAATGCAGTTTAAACAGATAAAAAAGCTACCACATAAAATGTTGTAAAAACTAAAAAAGATAATAGCAGTGTAAGATACTGCTACAATTACAATTGTGACAAGAAGCATGCAACAAGAGTTTGCAATCAAAAATGAACCTAGAAGTTTGAGAGCTAGTAAGTCACCACAGCAGTATAATGTTGTAAAAACTAAAAAAGATAATAGCAGTGTAAGATACTGCTACAATTACAATTGTGACAAGAAGCATGCAACAAGAGTTTGCAATAAAAAATGAACCTAGAAGTTTGAGAGCTAGTAAGTCACCACAGCAGTTTGTCAGTTGGTCACAAGGTTCAAAGTATCAATACACCTCTGCTCATCRGTACTTAAAACCTTGCACTTTTTATGTTTTCTTTAGTTTTTTTTCAAAATTTAGTTTTTTATATATATTTTTCATTAAAAAAAGGGGATCCCAAAGACACCTGTAAACAGGTGTTTCGAGAACCAAAAGATAAGATACAATACACCCTATATCATATCAATACTTGGAACCTTGGTTTGGTCATTACATCTGAAGGTCCAACTTGTATCGTCCAAACACTACTCATTTTCTAAAGCTGAATGCAGTGAAAAAAAAAAAAAAACTCATTAAAGTGCCATATATATGCAAGTGCAGAATGAAAAAACTATAACAGTCCAAGCTGACCCAACCGTAGAATGATTTTCCACAGTTTTCAAGCTTCTGGCCAGCCCACACGGTGCACTTGCCAAAACTACTCAGTCTGCATCAATTATTTATATTCGATGACGTTGGTATTTATAAATGTACCACATATTTGAAAAATCTAAACAAGAGAATAGTATTTGAAAACAARGAATAAAGCAGACATGAAAAGATGAGTCCCTGTTGCAGTATTACCAGTACATGCAAAGCATGTAGTATTCTAACACCATAGGTAGCACAAGAACATGAACATATAACAATCAAGAATATTTAAGTATTAAATCATAATAATATAACACTGAGAATAATAACATTCAATGAAAACAGAAAAAATAAATTAAATAACAAATGGCAAGAAAACCATAGAAACCATTCTAGATTACATTAGCCTATCAACAGAGCAAGCTTATCAGTGACATTAACAATTTATGACTTTCAACAATAAGGTTTATAGAAAGAAAGACAAGTGGACAAAATGAAATATCCTCGACCAAAACTCCAACCAACAAATAAAACCCAACTCACAAAACCTTTGCAGTGCTTAAGGGAGGTCATGGAGTTATCCAATGAACCACGTCCTTGAAAAAATGATGCCTCAGATGCCTTTGTGATAGGCATCGAAGTGCTGGGGAGGGAGGGAGACTCCCTGTCCCTGAGAGTAGAAGTGCTGGCAGTAGTGGAAGGCATTCAAAGGGCAAAGCTAATGAACATTCACAAGCTATTTGTGGAGGGAGACTATAAATTGGTGATTAGCTGGTTACAAGACGGGGGGATGAAAATGTGACTCTTTTAATAATGAAAGGAAGAAAATAGGGTGGCTAACCAGAGAAATGGATATAAATGTTGAGTACGTTAAGAGAAGTGCTAATTATGTCGCAGATGCTTTAGCCAAACAGGGGTGGGGAGAGATTCTCTGTTCTGGGCACAAATTGTAAGGGAATTGGATTTGTTGGAGGAGAGATGAGAGGTTTTATCTCTCACAGTCTTTGTCTGTATTTAATGTGTTGTACATTTTCTTCCTACTTTAATTAGTAAAATGCTTGAGTTATTGATAAAAAATAGATTACAAAGTCATCGTCATCTACCTTCATTATAGTTTATAAATATAATGGGGAAAGTAACTCCAGTAGGTCTTGTCTTGCTTAGATTATTAGAAGAAAAGAAGGTACCTTTAATGGCAACCTCGCGGAAGTTGGATTTTGTATTTGAGTAGAGCCTCTTCCACTCATCCAATATCATCTTACTTGGGGGAAGCAGATCAAGAGGATTTTTCAGCTTGGGTTTGGGTGCCTCCTCCTCTTCAGCAGGCTCTTCTACTTTAGGCTTTGCAGGTTCTTTCTTGGTTTCCTTTTTCGGTTCATCCTTTGCCTTATGCTTTGCAGGTTCTTTAGACTGAGAAGGCTTCTTTGCTGACTGAACAGGTGGAACAGATTCTACCTGCTTTACTTCCCCCAATATCTTCTTGAAGTTTGGTTGATTAACCATGGTCCAAAAGTATCTCTCAACATGAGGAAACTCCGAAGTAAAGCTTTTGGTCATGACACGACTGAATCCCAAAGACAAGTTACATGTCATTACAATGTCAGCAAGAGTAACAGAGTGTCCAACAAGGAAAGTGTTTGAAGCAAGGTGTTTATTCAGGGCATCCAGGGCTCTCTTCAATGCAGAAATGGCAGCTTCCTCAGCCTTTATGCAACCAAAAACATGGCAGCAGGTCACATTAGAGATAAACAAGTACTACATTGAACTGATGCACTTATGTGCCTGCATTGCGGATATATCCTAAATGCATCAAATGTATGTATAGATGCTCGTGTAAATGAAAGAATTTGAATTTTAAAAGAAAGCAATGATGAATTGATGTGTAACTAACCGGAGGAAGGTATACTGCAAACCCAGCTCGGGGAATGAACCACTTCAAAATATTAGCGTCAATCTCCAATGAAGCAAAGTCAATCCACTGCTCAATACGAGCCTGGAAAAAGAAAATACCCAAATCAATAAAAAGAAAAAAACGCCCCACCCCCCCCCAACATCCAGTTGAAAGAAGATCATGATAAGCTTGAAACCCATCCCGTAGAAGGAAACACAATAATGTTTACTAAAGAAATATGCCAATAAGAAATCATATCTTACAAATTCAATCAGGGAAGAGCCATAAAGAGGAGTGTCGCCCTTCAAACGTGCAACTGCATTTAGTAACATCAATTAGAAAACCAAGTCTCAAGTCCAGCCTTCAGGGATTAAAACATATAAAATGAAATATTGACTCACCATAGCGTGCAATAGCATTGCTCTCAAATATGGGGCCATCAGGCGTCTCCAATACAGGAACCTGCACAAACAGAAACCATTTTCAAGACATAAAAGTAAAGCTCTGTCAAAACAATTAACCACCCAAGAAAGYTTCTTGGGCGATAACAGCTTACCTTTCCAATTGGGTTCATCTTAAGAAATTGGGGAGTTTTATTCGAGACACCCATCTCAAAATTCGGGACCAATTTGACTGTAACCCCATTGTACTCTGCAGCAATTAGTGCCTTAAAGGCATTCTTGTTAGTGTTCCCCGCATGCAAGACCTGTAAAACATATGAAATATATAAATCACTTCAGATCAATAACAACGTTGTTTTAACGTTAAATCCCATGCGCCTAGATCTGTTAGGCATGGAACGGAGAAAACAATAACTAATGGCTATCGCTCTAAGTTTTGCAGATCAGCAGATCTTCAAGACTGTAACCAACAGAATTGGCATCACAGCACTCTGAAACTAGAAGTTGATTTAAATTAAAATATCAAACAAACAGGAATATATATGAAAAACTGACCAGAGTCATGGCTTGAAGCAAGACGATTTCTTCGATATCTGATCTGATTAAGAAAAGAGAATATGAATGTTAATCAGCTAGAAGCCTTCACAAAACCACAATCGAGCTAAGGGAAGTAAAGGGGGGTGACAATAAATCAAAAGTTCCACTAAAGAAGCTTGCCTGCACTACACTGGGGGAGTCCTGGTCCGAGGTTTGCTGATTGATGGGAGAGAGGCTTTTTATTGGAAAGAAGTTGAAGTGTTAAACCCTCTAGGGTTTCTGGAGCTCCAGGAAAAATTAGGGTTTGTTTCAAAAGTGGAAAACTCGGTTGTCGCCCAGTCATCCGACTCGGAACGTGGCTGAGGTCGAAACTAATTTATCATCGAAGAAAAGGAATATTCACTAATACTGTTTTTTTGATAGGCTGCGTTTGTTTATGGTGTAAAATCCGGCTTGGTGTCGGTCAGTTTTGTATGCGTTTAGATGGGATGTAAAACAAGATACTTTTACATCCCATTGGTGTAAATGAATATTTAAAGATACTTTTACATAAAAAAATCAATGTAAAAGTAGTGTCCCTCTTCCTCCATTGGTGTAAAAGTAATGCTTTTCTTCCTCCTCTAGTAAACTACTTCGTCACCATCGAGATTTCAATCTTCATCGTGCCCTCCTATTTTTATCAAGGTTTTAAACTCCATGTGATCTTCTTCTTCTTTCTTTTCTTTTGATAAATTCTTCTTCTTCTTCTTCTTCTTCTTCTTCTTCTTCTTTCACACTTTCTCTCTCTCTGGTCTCCTTGTGCCAAGTTCGAACGGGGAAGATGGATAGAAGTAAAGACGAACAAATTTTTTGCTAGAGATCAGAGCAACAACATTGTTAGGCAACACCACAGTTGAGGAGGATTTTGTCCTCCTCACTCTTTAATGGGAAAAATGGGAAGATTTCACTAAAACCCACTCTTGAATGGGAAAACCCACAGAGATAAGGTGGGAATGGGGAAAATCCACTAAAACCTGCTCTTCGATCAAGTGGAAATGGGAAAAACCTGCTCTAAACAAAGAAAGATCCCACTCAATTGTTTTCAAAAAATCGATAGATCAAAAGAGAAGAAGATTTCACTGAAACCCACTTGGTTTTACACTGTTTTGCCAAACGAACAAGAGTGTAAAACATGCATTTGATCGGTTCGCTTTTTACACTGATGCATCTTATCGTTCTTTATTTCCATCAATGGAGTTTAATTGTGTAAAACTCAACTTTTCCCCATTAGTATCATGTACTTTGGGTCTAGTGCCACTTTAGTCTCCAAACTTTAAAATGTGACATTCAATATCCAAAATTTTAAAATGTATCAACTTAGTATCTATCATTAACCAGTCGTCAATTATGTGTATTATGTGGCATCATGTATAACTTAAAATTTTTCAAAATGTCAAAATTACCCTTGAAAATAAAACATTGTTCATCATCTTCTTCCTCGAGAAGATGAAACAAAGGTATAGTCCCATCTAATTTCCTGCCCAAATTTTTTTCTCGAACGCGTCTCAAATCCTCAAACATGTTCTTGGTTGTTTAGTTCAACAGATTTCAACTACGTTGGTTTGAACGACTCTATTTCCAAGCGACCATGCTACCTGACCATCTAAAAGCGTCCGGCTATGTTGTCCGAAATACATGATACCTGAAAAAAACTTACAACCACTTCATTCATAGAATCTCCCTCGATGCAAATATCCAAGAACAATGACTACGATTAAGAACTTAGAAACAACTTCTTTCCTTGCTATCTTTTGTTTCACCACTAAATCCCAATGAAGATGCTTCTGCTGCTAACGTTCACCAACACCCTAGAATGCAATTTAATGGGCTTCATTTCTGAGGTAGTTTTGGCCGTACAGAATCAAGTAACAAAGACCATTCACTAATTTGTTTTGTGGTTGTGGTCTCACAATCTGTCCATGACTTTGATCTCTTATCATTTTTGGCCTCCCCATTGCCTTCTACAAGCGAAAAGCTTTTCGAAATTCTCCCAACACCCAACCCAACTCATTTAATTGTATAAGTAAATCATTGATTAAATCACTTTTCTTTCTATGGTTTATGGTAAACATAATTAATATTAACAATATGATGCCCCTAACCTTCCTAGATGCAAGCAAGATCCTCCACCAAAAGGGTTTTTTCTAAACAATAACTTTAAGAGATCCTGGATTAGTTTTTTTTTTACTCAAATAACTCATAATGCATGGAAAAATAATTACACCAATTGTTCGAATACTAGTTATTATTCTAAAAAATAATTACTTTAATAAGTAAATTATTTAAATAATTACTAGTACAATTATTAGTGTAGTTTGAATTTTCTTTAATATTATTAAATAATTATTAGTGTAAATGTGTAATTAGGTCAAGCTAAATCAAATCCACCCCAAGTTTTTTTTTTTTTTTGGATACAGGAGGGAAAACGATCAAACTAAGCAAAGGGTAAGCAACCCCAATGATCAAGGGCAGAGCTAGGGCAACTTAGGGGAACCCTAGTCCCCACTTATACTACCCTTCTCCCCCCACCCACACCCAATGATTAGCCCCCAAAACCTCATCCATGTTTATTCTCTCATTCCTATCCATTTAATTAGGTTTTGGCCATTGTAGAAAAAATTTTGGCTCCTCCCCTACCAAAGATCATGAGCTTAGCTATGTTGAAAATTCTCAGTGAATGAGTGAAGTGTTCTTTGTGAACGAGTGGTTATCGAAGGTGAAACCCAAAATCTTCTCCCCGTTACTCTTGTTGGAGGTTACCAACCATAATACTCTGGAAGCAAGAAAGATGGCTGATCAAGAGGATCAAAATGGAAAAGTGAAAATGAATGAGAAGTGCAAGAGTTTGTTTAGTAAGGTAATTCCAGATAGAACTCTAAATGCACAAGGTGTCTTGGAGCTAGTGCAAAATATGTGGGCACGGAGTTTGGAGTTTAAGATACGAAGTTGAGTGGTTGCATGGAGATATTCTGTAGATTGTTTTCAGAAATGAGGTAGACCTAGAGTGGGTTTTGGAAAAGGAATTGCAAACAGTGAGAGACTACCCTATCTTATTCAAACTATGGGGACCCAATGTCATCCCACGCAACTTATCCTTCAAGTTCCTAAACATATGGGTAAGGATCCTAGATGTTCTAGTGGAGAAAATGATAAAAGCTTGGGTAAGAAAGTTGGCTGTGAATGCGGGCGAATTGTTGGAAAAAGAGGTGGACCAGGATGCTGATGAGGACAACCCATGCTAGGGACGATTTCTGAGAGTTAGAGTTCAAGTGGATACTTCTAAACCTCTGGCCCTACGCTTTTAGGACAAAGAAGGAAGGAATGGGTCTTGGTGGTTTCCCTACCAGTAAGAATGCCTCTTTTGTTCTATAGATGTAGCTATATTGGGCATGATGAAAGACTTTGCAACTTAGTCTCTGAAGAGGCTAACATGGTTATCCTTGTAGAAAGGTTTGCCATCCAGGAGTTCAAGGGAGAAAATCAAAATCCAACTTATGGTCTGTGGATGAGAACTGCAATGGAATCAAGAGAGTTTAAAGTTATTAATAGAGAAGGTAATAAATGAGGTAAAGGGACACCTCGCACCTCCACTCTAGCTCTGATGAAAATAAAATCTCCAATAAGAAATGTGGATTCTCCTTTCAATGTGAAAAAAAAAGAATGGGCATGATGATAGATGTAAGTGGTGTGGTAAGGCTGAGTATGGTGGTCTCCTTGAAGAACGAAGAAAGGCTAGAGGTATCGGAAACATAACAGAGGTAGGTAGGGATCTTTAATTAATGGAATCGTGTGTTTGTTATGGTTTACACCCCTTTTATAAGGGGAGATCCCAAGGCCCGGAAGGGAAGGAGCCGAAAGGGGGTTTGACTCCTATTTGGAAGGGGATCTTCAATTCGATGTCAGTTGTCAAGAGGGCATTGCTAGGGGTTCGCCACTTGTTACGCGAAATCTTCCCAGGATGAAGTTTCCTTTCATCCAAGGATTCACATAGTGCGCGTGCACTACTTCCCTTTGTAGGTCTCCTAAATCGATGTCATGTGGGTGACATTGGAGTTAGTCTGACGTGTTCCGCTTAGTCTGCTAGGTGTCCTGCTATGAGTGACTTTGGCTCATTGTAGTCGTGCGATGGTCCTTTTGTCCATCACAAGTTTGTGATGGCTTCAAGCTCATCGCGAGTGTATGACAAGTTATGGGTTGATAGCAAGTTTGTGATGGCCTATGTGATGGCTGCGGGTCCATCGTAGGGCTGGTTTAATGCCTTTATTGCGGTCACCATTGTAGGGAAACATATGTACTTACTATTAGCCCCTTGCTTATTGGTAAGAGTATTCATATCAATAAGCATTTCTATGATTGGTGTGATTTCTTTGCTCTCTTTATCATATGTTACTTCTTTCATCACACGTTTTGGTATTTGTTAGATTATTATGGCTGGCACATGGGGAAAGGTGACTTTGAGCTCATTTTCATCTGATCATCGGTTATCTCTTAGATTTGGTGTTTCATGCGTGCTTCTGGTGACTATAGCTGTTGAGGGGATCGTAAAATTTTAAACATGTCTTAGAAAAGGATGTTGTTGTTGGGTGCATGATTCAGAGTTCGCCATTGTTAGGATTGATTGATTTTTGTATGGTTATTATTAGCCCCCCTATTTCTCAATAGGAAGCATTTTGTCAAGAGACAACTTTGGTTACATTTGGATTTTCAAGCCCCCCTGTGTCTTGGCAAAGTGCTTTCTATCGGGAAACACCTTGAGTGTCTATATGTCTAGGGATGGTAATTTTAGCCCCCTATACCTTGGTGAGGTGTATTCTACTTCCAATGACTCATGTGTGTATTCTTTGTCTTGGGGAGGACTACTGAAGGGTGGTTCTCTTCCCCGCTTTTTGTCGTACAATATTTTATTGAAGAGGTGTTGGGTCTAGTTCTAGGTACCCCGTTGTTAACACCCAATTTTTGCTTGGTCCACTGCCTAAACCCCAAACTCACCCCAAATGCTTAGTCAGACCCTTCCAATCTCTTTGAAACACCCAAAAATCCAAAAAGCCCAAATTTCACCCTGAGAGCCTTTAAATTCACCATTAAGCTTATCTGATACCAATCTGATGGCCCCGATCAATACCCATTTACACCTCAACCATTAGATAAAACACAACCATCAGATCCAGGACCACCCAAGACACCTACCCATAAAAATTCAACTCAAGATTCCCTCGTTTACCCCCTCATCAAATGAAGATTCCATTTCAACCTCTCTCGTTACCCTAAAACACTCATAACCTAGATTACCTTGCTCTTGACGCATTCAAACTGATCTGACCACACCTTTAGACTACAAACATACCATAACACTTGCTCATAAAATTTCGCCCCTTGATTTTCTCAACTTGCCCTTCTACCAAACCAAATACCCAAATTCCTATGATTTGACCCTCAAATA